AAAAATAGAAGAAAAGATATAAATATATCATCAAAATGCCTTTAAAAAATAAACCACTAATTTTAATAATCTAACAAGTGATTGGAAAGCAGAATATAAGTTCAGAGATTATATTAAAGAGATGTGATATGAAGATCTTTTAAAACCAATCTTACAAGAAAAATTAAGTGAAGTATTATAAATACTTTTTAATAATAAAGCATTAAGCAAATTATAAATCAGCTATAAAATATTAAAGAGATTAAAATCTAAAGAAAAAAAATATTTGAGGAGAATCTTTAATAACTTTTTAAGATATGAGATAACTTCTATATGATGAAAACAAAACTATATCTATTCCATTACAAAGTCAAAACCATAGAAATATAATCTGGTAAATACAAGATCTATAATTTTGCTAAAAGTAACAAGAAAGTGTTTTACAAAAATACCAACAGGTTTAAAATATTTATAATAGAAATAATATTTTCAAAAGATCCAACTATATATGACTCCTTGATGAAAGTACTGCAGAAACTATTCAGATTCTAAATAATATCTATGAAAATATAAGAAAAAGTAAAAAAAAGCTCTAAATATTTTTTCAGAATACAACTAAATCTATAATACTATTAATCTAGATATATTAAAAAAAGGTAATGGAAAGAATCAAAATTTCAGCTAACTTCATTAATATAGTAATAAATTTGTTTCAAAATAAAGAGTTTAGAATTATTTATAAAAACAACTTAACAAGTTCAATAATAGTAAAGAATGAAATTGATTAAAGGAAAATTATTTCCCTCCTAATGTAAAGAATATTTTATGATCCTCTTTTATACAAGATTCAGAACAATAAAAAATGAAGATATAAGATGTCAATTTTTTAAAATCAAATCTAACAGAAAATAATATAAGGAAATTAGAGTCTTGACATGTAGCTATTGCCTTTATGAATAATATTACTTGAATCATTAGATTCAAAAAAGATATAGATAAAATTCTAAAAAAAACAAGAATTTTTCATAAGGTAAATAACTTTTAAATAAATAGTAACAAATTAATACTAGCTACTATTAATAATTTCAATCAATATTTGGTAAAGTTCAAATAAGTATCAATAAAGAAATAGTCAAAAAGCTAAATAGAATTGAGTAAGCAAGGTTCTAGGAATATAGGCAAGTAATAAAAAAACTATAGTTGAACTCAAGGAAAAAATATTGAGAAAAATTAGTATAGTTACTAAAGTTCTAAAGAATAAAAAGGTAACAAACAAACAAATGTTCTATATATTGAATAGAATTCTGATATCAAGAATTGAGTTTTGAACATAACATAGTATATTGCCTTAAAAATATATATAATATCTTAACAATAGTATATAGAAAACTTTTCAAGAATAAAACTGACTTTGGTGGATTGATACTAAATAGTGTTTTATATCATTCAAAAATTCACAATTAAAAAAGTATTTAAATGCTACAAAAAGAAAATCAGATAATAAAATTATACAATAAACTTAATAATTAAGAACCAGCTAGAGGCACAACAATTATTAAGCTCAAATAAACATAAATAAAACACTGAAAGCCTGATACTTTACTTACCTGTAACTTCTTATACTACCTATTAGATAGAGGCAACTTAATACTTCTAGTATTGAAGTTAGCTAGAGATATGGATATAACTTGTTATAGCTAAAAATAGCATGATATATTTGAATGGAGCAAAAGAAATAGTCCAATTAGCAAATACCTTACATCAAATAAGTACAAAAAAGTTATATCTTTATTGAGAAACAATAATTTAATGTATATAGACTAACTAATTAATATAGATGCTAAAGAAATATAAAACTGAAGAATGTTACAATTTATGCAAAATATGAGCAAATATTTAATTCCAGAATGATATTTATCAATAGTCAAAACTATACAAAAAGAGGGAATAAAATAGTTTACCAGATATTGGAAATATGTTAAACTTGAACTTGATTTTATAATAGTTATAAAATCTAGCGCAGTTTAAATATAGAATTTAAAATTTTATAAGTTTAATATCAAAGAATTCAATTAAGTGGATTAGACTAAATGAAAATTAAAATATTACATATGAAAATATGATTATAACAAATGGTAAAAGTTATGAATTGTTATAGAAAATAAAGAGAATCAAGTTATCTAAAAAAAATTAATAAAAAAAAGCATAATGGATAACATAAAAATAGAGCACTTCGACTGTTCAGTAGTTAAAGAATATCAACAAATAACAAGTCTAATAAAATGTTTTGGATGTTCAGAAGGTATTAGAAAAAATAGCTATTGTGTAATGACAGAAAAAAGGGATAGAGTATATATAATCTTATATATTAATACTAGAAAATCCATTAGAAGAATTCAAGTATCAAAGATTTCAAGGAACAAGACAATTATGAAAAAAAATATACTTAAGATAATAAAAGAGAATCAAAGACAAATTCAAATTGATAAAATAATAAATATAAAAATAGAAAGTTGGAAAGAAAAAATTATTAGAAACAATGTAAAAGTAGGTACATATTAATTCTATTTGATAGAAATTCTTTAGTGAAATTAGAAATTAAATAAAGTGATGACCTTCTATTCTAATAGATTACTGGTTAATTATAGAAGTGAAAAAATAAAAATGGAAATAGTATAGATTCAAATAGAAAAAACAAGAAGAGAAAGCAAATTTCAGACAAGGGTAGAAAACTGACTATCATTAATAAGGATAGAAATAATAACAATAGTTACTATATTACTAGTAGTTCCTATTGAAGATAGAGTTAAGATCTATGTAGACAGTCAAGCCTATATCTTTAAATAGAAGGAACTGAAGGAAAAAAAATCTAAAAAAGATATATAAAAGATGGTTAAAAAAGAAAAACTGATTTTTATAAATGTAAATACTAGATCTTGTAGAGAAAAAATACTTGAACCTAAAACTAATTAAGGTTAAGGCCTACTCTGATAATAAATACAATGAAGAAGTAAATACCATGGTCAAAAAAACTTTTCAACTTTCTATAATCGAATGAAAAAATCTTATATTATCCAAAATCCAAAATTATTATAAAAATTAAATGACAAAGTATAATACTGAATGCTTCAATAAAGTAAATAGCAAAATAATAGCCTATAAATAAATGTAATAGAATAAAATTTAGAAAAAATGAAACTAGCAAATACAAGATTAGCATAAGTATATATGGAACCTTATATAGAATAAAATAAAAAATAGGTATATATAGAATATTTTCTTTAAAGACTTTTACAAAAAAAGCATTCTTATAAAATTGACAAATGATGAATTACTAATAATGACAAAACTAACAATAAAAGTTTAAATCTTTATATACAAGTAGTATATATAGAATGTCTAGTATATGGAAAACAATTATAAGAAACATATATAAAAGGATTAGAAGAGGTATTGAAGGAATTTAAAAAACTTTTTTACAAAAGAAAGGAGGAAATGAAAGAAAAATATATATAGCTAATTATAAAAAATAGAAAAGAGATAAAAAAACTAGACAAACTAATCTTCAAACTTATAGAAAAAGTTTTTAAAAGTGATTATAAGACATTAAGCTTTTGTATGAGGCTCATAAGAAATTACTAGATTACTGCAATAGCTGATCTCAAATGTTGAAATAAAAGAATAAATAAAAAGCTTATAGATAAATTATAAAAATGCAGAAGAAGATTTATAACTATATTTAAAAGGAGATTTAAAATAAAAGATATGAAAGAATAATTAAATAGAAATGATTATAAAGAATTAACAGAAAGTATAAAGTAAGAAGATTAGGTCTAAAAGTTCAAAAGATCAAGATTAAAGGCAAGAAACTATTTATTCCTAAAGGAAAAAAATTGAATAATAAGAATCTGAAGCAGATCTTAATAAAAGAAATTAAATATAGAATAAAATAGTTGGGTTTTGATCTTTGTTAAAGCTTTGCAAAGTGATTTGCAGTGGTGATTTACAGATAATAATACTAATAGTCAAAAGAATATTCATCTAAACTGTTAATAAAATGACAAATCACTTTCAAAGTTGCACTTAAAGTGACAATAGTTAAGACAAGTGAGTTAGTTAGAAATTTAGCTTTAGTGTTATATTGATATATAAAATTGAATTAATTAAAAAATTTTTTTTATTTTTTAAATTCTATTTTTGAAAAAAGAAATAATTATAGTACTTAGTATTGATATTACTTAAAAATTTTTATTTTTATATAAACTTAATTCTATAATCTTATAATAATAAATAAAAATATTATTATTGTAATATAGATCTATATATTATTTAATAATTTATTACTTTTTGAAATAATTAATAATAACAAATTATTGATAATAATTTTGATAAATAGAGATTAAATATCAATTTATTAGAAAAGTTTTTTAAATTTAACTTAAATTTTTAGTTTAAACTTTGTTTTATTTAACTTAAACTAGTTTAAACTTTATATAGTTTTTAAGTAATGTAATTTTTTAAGATATTTATTTAATGTTTCAATAAAAGACATAATATTATAATATGATTGTGGATTAAAAAATAATAAATTTAAGTTTTATTTAATATGCTAAATACTATATGTTTTTAAAATTACAATTCTTAATTTATTGTTTATTATTCAGATTCAGCAAGTATAATTGAAGTAATTAAGATTTAAATAAATATACCAGTATATTTCGTAAATATCATTATTATTATAGAAAAAAATTTCCCGATGTTTTATTGGGTGGATATACTTCAATCCCGGAGTGAAAAATTTGCAAAATCTTCTAGGTCTTTCCATCTACTTATAAAAATACAAATACTATATGAATAGTCCCTGACTATTAGTATTGATTAAGAGTGCCCTAATATACATATATATATATATGAAAAGTTATTAATGCATTCCAGTCTATCATTCTATTTAGTTTACCATTGAGTTATACAGAGATAAGATACCAACGAAGAATCAGTAAACACGTCCTTTACATTCATAGGACCAGCAACGAATTCTAAGACGTTGGAGTAGGAGTGCCATCACTCTTCATGCCGGGAAGGGTTTCAGTATCTAGACCATAATCAGCCACAGTTCCATTAAAGAAACAATTTATTACGTCTGAAAGCATTATTACCTCTGACGAAGTTGGAGTGGCAGTTGAGGTTTCAGTTTTAGATGTCGAAGACGTACAAGTTGATGAGGATGTGGAAGTCGAGGTCGAGGATGTTGATGTTGTTGATGTGGTTGGTGTGGTTGATGTGGTTGGCGT